CGGAGGGTCAGTGCTGAGGGAGCGCCGCACTGTCGGAGGGTCAGTACCAAGTTTCCATCAGCATGGAGCATGGTGGCCAATCTGTGCTGTGGCTTCGGACGCCCCAGAGTGCTGGGATCAGACTGTGTCTTTCCAGTTGCGAAGTTTGCTAGGTTACTTGTGGATTGTGAGGCAGGATGGTAGAATTTGTTGTTTGTAAAATACTAGAGCGGGCACCAATTTGTGGTCCCTTCAAAAGATGATGTGCTTTTTCTCTCCTTAGAGATTTAAAATAGATGTCTGCTCGCAGCAGCTTGAAAGTTTGCAAGCAAACAGGGAGCATCCAAAGTGATAAAATCTTGTATCAAGAGGGTGTGCAGTTAACAGGACAAGCAGCAGATTTTACCAAGGGCCACAGGCTTTTCAATTTAGCCAATCAATTCGAACCAGGCATTTAGATACCAAAAACCAAAAATCAAGTTTAAATCTGATGGTTTTGACAATACAGGACCGATCATATTGTAATAAATATTGATATGTCATCAAGGGTATAAAAGAAGGGGCGGGGGGGCTGTTGGACAAACTCCCAGGGAGCTAACTGCCATCCGCCAGAGCTAACAGCCCTCAGCTCTCAAGAGAGAATCACTGTCTCTCACAGCCTCCTCTATGTCTTAGAGAAAGCACCATTTAAATAACTATAGTACCTGAGGCACAACTAGTTAACATTCCTGACAGAAGAATCAATGGAGACGGCACAGAACATTCCAGAAGGCATGTTACTTGGCTGCAATTTCGAGAGATTAAATTCTATCTTTGTTTTCGTTCTATAAGTGGGACTTGTATTTATTGGAACAGCATACCATTAGAATCTTGCTTGACTTGGGAATAGTTAGTAGTTAGAAAGGATTTCTACCATTTGTTAATAGTTTGGTTTATTTGTACATTGTTAGAGTTAGATAAATAAGTTGTTACTTGTTGATTGTGAATTGGGTGTCAGGGGTTATTTTATTTAACCACTAGAAGGTGCTGAAAGGCAGGTTACACCACTTTTCACATTCCTTTAACAGATTATAGGGCGAGGGGGCTCCTCTCGGGGTGTTTGGGTTTTACTTCTCATGGGAGGAGGCCAACCTCTGTTTTATAACAATCCAGAGACGTGGTGTTCTCACCCTTGACCCAAAGATACACTGCGAACATGCCAAACCCGTGGGGGTTTCGAACTGAGCAGGATACCGTCACTTCCTCTTTATCCTGGAGTCCTGTCAGGATCAGGGAGCCTGTCACAAGATGCCCCTCTCTGAGCTGCCACGACACAAAACCTCCCTGTGTTTGGTTACCACTGAGGTTGGCATGGGGCAGGTGCCAGGTGAGATCTCCAGGAGGGTTGGAGTAGGCCACACAGACACAGGTGAACCCCTCTGCTCTCCGAACACATTCCGAATCCCCGGATATCTCCGGACCGTCTGAGGAGAGAAGCGGAGTTTAGTGAGGCACGCCTCGCTGCTTTTCCCCTGCAGTTCGGAAAGAGGCCATTCAGCCCACTGAATCTACATAGACCTTCTGAACAGCACCCCACCCAGACCTACTCCCCACCTTATCCCTGTATCCCAGCAATTCCCATGGCCAACCCACCCTAACCTGCACAACTTTAGATTGTGGGAGGAAACCAGAGCACCCAGAGGAAACCCACGCAGACACGGGGAGAATGTGCAAACTCCACACAGACAGTTGCCTGAGGGTGGAATCAAATCCAGGTCCCTGGTGCTGTGAGGCAGCAGTGCTAAACACTGAGCCACCGTGCTGTGCGAAAGCAAGACAGGGAGAGAGAGAGAGAGAGAGAGAATGTGAGAGAGACAGCGTGTGAATGAGAGATAGAGAATGAGAGCACGCTGTGTGAGAGAGAGAGAGTGTGAGAAAGAAAGAGTATGTGAGTGAGAGAGTGTGTGAGAGAGAGTGTGTGAGAAAGAGGGAGAGAGTGAGTGATAGAGCTTGTGTGAGAGAGAGTGTGAGAAAAAGAGAGTGAGTGTGAGAGAGTGTGTGAATGTGTGAGTGAGACAGAGTGAGTGAGAAGGAGTGTGTGAGTGAGAGTGAGTGAGAGAGTGTGAGTGAGAGAGTGTGAGTGAGAGAGTGTGTGTGAGAGAGTGTGTGTGAGAGAG